TCATCCGACTTATGTATAGTCGAGACTTTACCTGTTCCGATTACTATTTGCTTCTATTAATGTAGAAAGTACTCTATGCGATACGCTTTACTTTAGAACAGGTCATTCGAAATTGACTTGAAGTCAACCAGTTTTTTGACAGAAAGGGGGAAAAGGTTAGAGCTAATAATGGTCAATACTTGAACAAATTTATATGTTTCAAAAAAAAAAATTAAATTAAAAATGTTTTAAAACTAAATTATGGATTAAAAAATGTGGATATAACTGGACAAGATTTTTCTAAGAATGTCTCCTAAAAAGTATCTGAGGATGATATTATTAGACAGGATTTGATGTGCTTTATATTGAGATTATTTGTTTTTGTTCTTGTTCTTGTAAGACTTAAATGAAATGCTTGCTTATAGCAGAACACCATTGCGAATGATTATGATTTATTTATATAAAAATAATCATACGCACCGGTGACACAAACCTTTTTTGGTTTTATTTTTCTAGCATAGTGTTAGAAGAAGATTCGGGTTAAAATCGATATAGGTTCTAAAATATCTCTACGATTTTTGGAAATACAATTTTTAATAAATTTTTGCTACAAAAAGAAAAATTCAACTAAAGAGGAAAGAGGGAAAAGGTCAGAGCTAATAATTGTCAATACTTGAACAAATTTATATGTTTCAAAATAAAAAAAACGTTTTAATACTAAATTATGGATTAAAAAATGTGGATATAACTGGACCAGATCTATCAACGAATGTCTCCTCAAAAAGTATCTCAGTGAGGCCAGGATGATTATCATTAGACAGGATTTGAAGGACTTTATATTGAGATTTTTTTTGGTTTTTGTAAGAAATTCCCGCAAAATTTTCAAATTCATTACTAATTTAAATGAAAAGCTGCAGTGCGAATGATTATGATTTATTTATATAAAAATAATCATACGCACCAGTGGCGCAGTGCTTTTTAAACCCGGGGTATATTGATTTTGTAATTCCTTTTGTAACACATCGAAATATTGGTCATAGACCCACAAAAGTATGTATATTCTGGGTCATTATTAAATTCTAAGACGATCTAGCCATGTCCGTCCGTCTGTTGAAAGCACAATAGAGTCCGAACGGAATGAGGTAGAGGATTGAAATTTTCCGCAAATATTCTCTATAGATAAGATTTATGTTAGTGTTGATAAACCGGTTAACCGAAAACCCGGTTTTTATTTCGGTTGGCATTTAAACCAAAAAAAATATGCAAAAAAATGGCATTTAAACCAAAAAAATTTACTATTTAAACAAAATCCAACCACTATATGAAGAAATTTGTTATTTATTAAGACGAATAAATAACTTTGATGATAAAATGCAGGATGCACTTACTTGTTTACTGCGTGATTATAATAAAAATCGATAAGTTTCTCAAACGTTCTCAAAACGGACATTATTTATCGAAACATAAGGATTGTTGTTGCTGTCCAAGAATTTATGCTGCTGGAGTTTTTCACAAACTGTAATGGCGCTTAGGTTGATTGACAGGAAGTCAGAATGACTCCTGTCAATATTCCTAAGCGTCATTCACGGTAGGTAACAATTAAAGCATGAGCTCAATGTCTATGTCGAGACAGTCGTCGTCTACTTCCGTTCCCGATGAATCGTCGCGAGCCTAAACACTATTTATACTTGATAGTCCTGGACATAAAATTTTTTTATTGATATAGATGCATTATATATTCAAAGGTAAATTTTTTCCTCCTATGGCAACTTCCATATACCTAACGAGTTAATAATATCTTCAGATCTGTATAAGTTTGTTTTCTTATGATATATTAATCTGATATTTGAAAAATCCAAATCAAATATCAGATTTCTGTAAAAATTTAAATTTTATTTAAGGCAATTTTTCGCTAGCACCTTTCTAATACATAAATATGTATATGCAAAGGTATACAAAGGTTTAAACTAAAATTATGATTTTTTTTTTATTTGTTTAGATATTGATGTTGTTGTTGTTAATTTTATGAGCTCTAGTTATGGTCAATTGTTGCTGATGCTGCATATAAATTCTTGTTTACATAAATATAGTTTATGTACTATATTTATTGTTGTTGTTTTATTTTAGCTTTTTGTTAATAAATGAGTTTAGTGGATATGTTCATAATTTGCAACAGGAAATATTTCATTACTCTCATTTACTTCAGAAAGTTTGTTAAGAGCGAGTAAAAATGAGTACATAGTTTTTGTATTGTATTTTTTTGTCATACACATAAAGTGGTGTCAGTGAGAGAAAGAGAGAATTTAGCACATACAGTTAAATGTTACAGCATTGCCAGCATTAAAGTTAAAAATATAAAATTGTAGAGGTAACTTCTTTGGGTAAATATTACTATTTTTGGCAATTATTAGTGAAAAATATAGTTTTTATGATATTGTTTCTGATATCGTTAACTCAAATATAATCGTTTGAAAAAAAAATAATATAAATTTATTGATTATAGTTAAAAATTACGATATCCTTTCTGGCTTTCATATGGATTCCATGCCAAAAGAACTGCTCATCTTTTGATGCCAAGCTCGAATCAAACCAATCATGGATACCCTATTCTTTTCCCAGAGAGCGCGTTCTGCATCGATCGAAACAAATATCAGTCGGACAAAGCAATGTTTGGACTATAATACGGGTAAGGCAAAACTTTGCAAATTATTCATTTTAAATAGTTTTTAAGTGTATTGCAACATGTAGCAGACCATTGCCTTTTAAAGGCAAGAACCAATTAAACCAAATTGCAACGTATCCCAGAGAGAGTGTTCTGCCTTCGGTACAGGTTTTCAATAAAGTCTGTCCAAATTTCAGGAGCATTTTGGTGTCACCAAAAGGCCCCATAATTTGATGTTGATTTGATTTTACATTTCGAATTATCGAAATAGATTATTTTTGTAAATCACAATAGAGAGGACCAGTGATGCCAAGTGTAGGGATTTTTCCCTTGTTGTAGGGATTTTTTTTTCAAAAATTTTACGTGAAGGGAAAAAGGGAAAGATGTCTTACTATTGTCAAGTTGTAGGGATTTTTTCAATTTCATAGTTTTTATCAACTAAAAATATACTCTTTGATGTATTAAACTTTAAAATTAAAAATGAAATCAAATTTAAGTGTAATGTTAGTAAAAATTCCGCTTGCAATTTCTACAATATGTGTACCTACATATCGCTGCAAGCCTTGCATAATATAAAATTCGGGTTTCTTGAACTGAGGTCTACAAAACATGCGACATACTAAAATCTTTCATTAGATTTATCAAATTTCTAATATGTCTATTATTTTCAATGTGAAATCGATTTTTTGTAAACGTAAAAACTAAAACCCACGTTTTCGTGAATATTAGACAACTAAAAATTGAATTTCAGTTTAGATGAGAAACATATTAACCTCAACTATATGAATTAGGATTTTTAAAATCCCTTGATTTGTTTAAAAGTTATCAAAGAAAATAGTTAAATGTCATTAAATATTGTTGGATTATGCCAATCCTGTAGGGCGATATATTCTGACTCCTTATAGATAGAGTAGTCGGGGTCTTACTGCAGTAACTCAGGATTGAAAAAAATAATTTAATGTTCTGAAAATTTTTTATAAATAGCAAAAAGTAAACGCAAGAGTAAACCTTATTTAAAACAATTATATTAAATTTTATGAAATTTTTTTGTTGGGGGCACATAAAATAAATTTTTAACATCGAATCGTGATACTGCCATAAATCTCTCAATTGTCTTGTTTTTTTTACATTGTTTTTACATATATATATGTATATTATAAAACAGAGCTGATATTTTAGTTTTTTATGTTATTTTTGTATTTTTTTAAGATAAACATGGAAAAAAAATGGAAAAAAGTAGTGTAGGGAAAAATGTAGGGAAAATAAAAAGTTGGTGTAGGGAAAAAAGGGATTTTGAAAAAAAATCTCCTGGAATCACCCATAGGATAGGACCCTTTTGGTCACACCTAGTACAGAGTCATAGATTTTTGACCACGCTGCATTACTATCAGACATCGTTGTAAGGAAACTGTCACATGTACTGGTATGCTGTGAGAAGTTGCTTTGTGCCGCGACACCCTCACATGTTTTTGATCATGGTGGTGCCGATCGTTATTACTCCTGTTTCGTCCTGAAGGACTGTTTCATCAAATAGATATTTGATATGTTGAATGGCGAAAAGCTATGGTTATGGATTCAGCAGCAACTTCAGTGTCGATTCGGGCGGTTGGCCGGGCTTCACATCTTACGCTTCTAGTTATCGTAATGGATCTATTTTATATTGCAAGTGAAGTAATTACTACAATTCTTGGTCTTCTTGGTCTGCTTTTGTGAAATATCTATCGAGATAAATATTACTCGTATTGTATAAAGTTTAACGATTAAATTGTTACTGAAATTGTCAAACTTGCAGTTTAATACCGAAAGTCAAATTTATCTATTCAGAGGCGAACGACGAATCTTTAGTTGACCACTAACCCATTGTATAAGGCGACCAACAGATATCTGCTCGACAATAATTTATTACAAAATTTTGAAATTACATTTTTTGACAATATTTGGAGTTTTTTCTCTATAAGAATTCACAGACTCATTGCTCTAAAACTCTCAATTTTCACAATTTTTTTAATTTCAAAAGAAACAGCTGTGACTAAAAAGAAGCAGATTTGTTTGTTGCTGATTTTTTTCAAAGTCACTTTCTATACAAAACAAACACTTGTTACTGAGCAGAAAAAAAAATAATGAGAAAAGAAAACAAAAAAAGTTAATAATCTCTCAGTCTCTCTGTCACCTAACAACAGCTCTCTTTTTTGTATTTGCTCACCCACAATTTCGCGCACTTACCGTATACAGCATTTCCTCAATGAACTGACACACAGCAAATTACTCATACATACAGACAGAGAAAAAGACAGACAAACAGCCTAACAAGTCATGCTGGCTGATAAGCGAAAATTCAAAATTTAGTTCAATTGAAGAATTCAACAGGAACGGTACCTTGAGAACGGATAAATTGTTTTCCATCAATACGGGGGAAATAATAAATATTCATTTATATACATATATAAAAACGAGAAAACCAAACAATATTCTAATACATAAAGTTACAAACAAGCAAATATATAACAATATATATATAAATTCTTATATACACAAAGAAATTGTATATGTATACAAATAAGCAAAAAAAAAAAAGAATAAAAAACGGCAGCCACAGCGTATTACTGAGAAAAAAAGGTTCAAAAGCCTAAAAGTATACTAACGATTTTTTAACATTTAACTAAAAGACAAGAAAAGTGTGTATATAATTTATTTTTGGTGAAAACAAAAAGTTACTGCAACAATTTTCTTTTACAAGTTTTAAAGAAAATTTAATTTAAACTTTAAAAAAAATATTTAAAGAATTTCCTGCAAGTCAAACAAAAAAAAAACATATGTTAAAGTAAATACAAGGAAAACAACATAAAAAGTTAAAAATTATTTAAATTAAAGATTTAAAAGAAATTTAATTGGCTTTAGTGACTTTTCAGTTAAGTGTAAAAGAATATTCAAAAAATTATTGGTGTCAGTGTGTTAAAAAAGAAACGTGTAACACGTGAGATACATTAAAAGAGAAGAAAAGCAAACAGTATTTAGTATTACGATTACATCTTCAAATATACAAAATCAACAAAGGACCAAAAATAAGTGAAGAAGATTGATAAGTAATCACACGCACTCACTCTTACTAACATTTACTAGTAAATTGCCAAAAGGACTTTAATGGCAAAAAGGAAATAAAGCATAAAATATACAAGGAAAACAATTAACGACTTTGTGTGTGTGTCGGTGCCAGTGTAAAAGTGATTGTAAAAATTGTGAACAACAGCAGCAGCAGAAACTTCAATTACTTTTGTAGTAATAAAAACAATTAACAATATCACTACACACATATTAACCAAACCACCAACACCAACATCCCAACACAACATCAACAACATGTCAGAAATTGTTGAATTAAATGTGGGTGGCGTACACTACACCACCACTATGGATTCATTGCTACAGGATAAATCATCATTGCTACATGAACTTTTTAGCAATAAGGATGATTTAATCAAAGACAGCAAGGGCCGCTATTTCCTTGATCGTGATGGTGTCCTCTTCCGCTACATATTAGACTATCTGCGTGACAAAACTTTACAGTTGCCCGAGGGATTTCGCGAAAAACAGCGCTTGCAGAAAGAGGCCGACTACTTTAAACTTCAGGGCATGTCGGAATGTTTGCGCAAAGAACGTGATACACGTTCACCCGGCTGCATAACTATCGGATATCGTGGCAGTTTTCAATTTGGCAAGGACGGTCTGGCCGACGTCAAATTCCGGAAGCTGTCACGTGTCCTGGTATGCGGTCGAGTTGCTTTGTGCCGTGAAGTTTTCGGTGATACCCTCAATGAATCACGTGATCCCGACCATGGTGGTCCCGATCGTTATACCTCCCGTTTCTTCCTGAAGCACTGTTTCATCGAACAGGCATTTGATATGTTGCACGATCAAGGTTTTCGTATGGCGGGCAGCTGTGGTTCCGGTACAGCGGGTTCGGCAGCAGAACCTAAGCCCGGCGTTGATACCGAAGAGAATCGATGGAATCATTATAATGAGTTTGTGTTTGTCAGAGAGTAAGGAAGCTGGAGTTTAGGCGCTATAGTTTTTGCAGATGTTAAAGTAAGTTTGTTATTTACACGCCACATGTGTATTAGAGATGCGTACTAAAATTTAAACTAATTTCTAGTCTAGTAAAATTTAGCTATATACACAAGTACATAAGATATATGATGTCTGTTCAATAATAAACAATTTTTACAAATTGTTTTTGTATTTTTATGCAATTTTCAAATATTTTTTGTGAAATTTAGTAACAGTTAGTAACACCTTAAAGTTATTGAATAGACATATTGTTAGATGATTAATGAATATCCCGCTTTAATAACAAGAATAGAAAATTCTTCTTAAAATTCTAAACATTTTAAAACAAAATTCTTTTTCAACTTCAAATAAATATGCTGCTCAAGTTAAGTCTCATTGAAATGGAATTTATTAGTAGAAAATTTAAAATTATATTGCAGAATAAAAAATTTTGCCCAAAATATTTTAGCAAAGCGATTATTTAATTCTGATTAAAATTTCCAAATAAATCTAAATATATATCGATATATCTTTCCCAACTTTTTTCATCGATCTAAGTTTCAAAAATCAATTTATTTGTTGACAAATATTATCAGAATTTTAAATTTTTCAATAAATTTATTGCTTTCAAAAAATTTTACTAGTAGGACGCCAGGACGTATGATTACGATTTATATAAATAATAATCATACGCACCGTTTTTCGATTTTTTAGATTTTTTATAGTATAGTTTTAGGAGACGATTTGAAAAACCTGTATAAATTGTGGTTGTGAAAAATCTAAAAAAAACTAAAAATTATCCTGCAAAATTTAAAATTTTATTTAATTAAAAAAAAATTATCCACTATATTTACTAAATTGATCATTTATATCTATAGTTTTTAATACATTGGAAAATTGTCTACAAAGAACAAATTTTCGAAAATATATAAATTGTCGAAATTGTACAGGATTTGCATTTAACAAAAATTCGCTTTAATAAAAAATTTAAATTTTTTAAAAATTTTTATCATAAATAAATTTTATAAAAATTTCCCTATATGAGCAAGATTTACTGATAAATTGTTTGAAATTTTAAATACCATTTATCGATTTTATACAAAAATAAAATTTAATAAAATTTTCCAATAAAAAATACAAAATGGTTTAAATTTCCAAAATTTTCCATCAAAAGTTTCCTTTAAAAAATTATTCAACATTTCCTTCAATACGATAATTTTTGGAAAACTCCCTTCAAAAGGTAGAAAAAATTTAAAGAAAGTTCACTTCAGTAATAAAATTTGTTGAAAATTTCCGTAAAAAAAATATTAAACAAAAAAAATTTCCCTCAAAACTAAAATTTATTGAAAAATGTTATCTAAACAAAATTTGTCAAAAATATTCACATCAAAATTCATTGAAAAAAATATTTTTGAAATTATTTCGAAATTTATCGAAATTTTGCTATAAAACGAAAAATTAAAATTCAATTCAAAAATTCATTCAATAAAGAAGACAAAAATTTCTTAACATTTTCATAAAAATTAAAAAAAAATCGAAAATTTTCTTCAAAAATCTATTTCTTTCAAAATGGAAAATTAAGTCAAACAAAAAAATTTTTTGAAATTTTACGAGAAAAACTAAAAAACAGCTTTAAAAAGCTGTATTCGGGGTGTATCGTTGTATTGGGAGAGCTATACGAAATAATGGACCGATTTTAACCATTTTCAATAGGCTTCGGTCAAAGGAAGAGTATGTGCCAAATTTCAAAAAATTATATTTCATCAAATTGTTACCTGTAGAGTGCGCACAAGGTTTACATGGACACACAGACGGATGGACGGATGGACGGATAGACGGACATCGACTTAGAATAATATCCTCCCCACTATAGTGGTGTAGGGTATAAAAACATTTCAAAAAATTAATAAATCCGCCAAAAATCAAAAATTTTCTTTAATAACAAAATTTATCGAACATTTCTTTCAGAAAGAATTGAAAAAGAAAATTATTAAAACATTTTCAAAAATTCTATTTAGTTTATCAACAAATTTTATTCAAATAGAAAATTGTAGTAGAAATGTTAAAAAGTTGGAAATTTGATGAATATTTTTTAAAAAATTTATAAATTGCGATACAAATAGAAAACAAAAACTTATATTTATAAATACTTTCTCACATACGTAGAATCAAAGATGTTTTTAAAATATTTAATTGAAAATTCACAAATAAATCCACTAAAAACAAACTTACTAATAAATTCAATGTAGAGGCAAATTTTAATTTGATACCAAAAATAAAATCTTTAAAAAATAACCCTATTCCTATTAAGTCTTTCCATCTCATATACAGCATAATTTAGTAAATAACATAATAATGATGATGATCTACTATAAGATGATAAGTTTTTTTGTTCTTTATTAAACCACACGACAGTAATTTGATTACAATAAAAGTAAAAAATTAAATAAAAAACAGTTTATAAATGTATAAATAATAAAAAATAACAATTGGAACAATGTCTCATAAAGTAGAATAATAAAAGCAACAAGTCGTCTACTCTAATACTAGTAATAAATATTTGAATAAATAAAACTTTTATTAGCAACTTAATAGACAAGGAAAAGAATAGTAAAATTTATGTATTGAGAAAAACTGCAGAAACACGCAAAAAAAAAACAAATCTCTCTGAGAAGCAAAGAAATGGAAACAGATTTAATATTTCTTTAGAGGTTATAGTAAAAGTTTAAATGATCTTTAATATTTTAGTTAGTTGTCTAAATTTGATGTACTAGCATTTTGTTAAGACAACCTCAGGGATAATAATTCCTAAAATTCATTTATGGCAATAATATATTAGTACCCTAGAGAAATTATATTTTTTTATGGCAATGATATTTTCAAATCTTAATATTTTTATATCTGTGGTCCATAGTGCAATGTCCATCTATCCGAAATTTTCATAATTATGACTCGTGACACTATCTGAAATTATGAATAGACGGACATTGACTAAAAATTATAATAAATTTGTTATCTATATAGAGATTTAAAAATATTAGTGCAGTGGAAACATAAAGAACTATAGCAAGAAACTAATGATAGACTAATGATAGGCAAAAGTAGTCTTCAACTAAAATGTAGAAAATTTAATTGTCAACAGAAATGTAGAAGTATCTGTATCGTACTTAAGAACTCAATTAACACATACAAAAAACAAGTAAGAAATTATAGTTGGCGAGGCCGACCATATAATACCCTATACCAGTTATAAAAATAATATGTGATTTAGTTTTCATAATAAAGCATTTAAGTGGAATTGTACCTTGCCTCAGATGGACTTAAGCTATTTATTGTTGAATAAAATTGTGGAGGGGCATAATGAGGCCAATCATGAGGGTCATCAAGGCTAGATTTTGCAACTTTTTGTCGAGATACGAATATATTAAATATAATTATGAATTTAAAAGCCCCATTTGGCGGGTTCAGTTGCATGGGGGCTAGGTGAAATAATGGAACAATATTAACTATTTTCAATAGGCTTTGTCTATGGTACAATATAAATTTAATTGAATTATCTTGATTACAAAGTTAACAAGCCCTATTTGCGGGTTCAGTTGTATAGGGGCTAGGTGAAATAATAGACCGATCTTAACCATTTTCAATAGGCTTCGTCCCTGGGACAATAGAAGATCATCTATCAAATTTCATTGAATTATCTTCAAAATTGCTACCTGTAGTTTGATTACAATGTTTACATGGACGGACGGACAAACAGAAAGACGGATGGACAGACGGACGGACATAGTTAAATAGACTCAGAGAAGGTGGGTATAGCACCAATAATATTGTGCGTTACAAATATCAGCACAAACCCACTAAAGTGGTGTGGGGTATAAAATTTTACTTTTTCATTAGACTTTACGTACGTAAAGTGTGATCGAGTAAAGGGCTTAAGGAGATACATATTTGTAAAAAAAATGATTTTTGTAACCTTTGACCCCTACTATCTCCTTAATTCAGATCCCAAGACAAAGCCATGTGCCAACTTTCTTTAGGCTATATAAAATTTCTCAGTTTGCTCATTTTTTTTACTAATTTTACTGGGCTATACATTCCTGATAAATAAAAAATTTGTTTGAGAGAACCAAGAATTGATTGAAACAATTACACTATTTAAAGGGACAACTTGATTTTAGTGAAGAGCGCTATCAAAATTACTTAGTGCAATCTATTTTCAGAAAATTTTGTTGAGACAACTAAAAATTATACAATTCTACCATATTTACATACATACGTATATGTCAAATAAAAATTCTGTGTTTATGAAAGTTAAAATCTTTTGCTTCTATGAAAAAAAAATATATATTTTACAAAACTGATTTGAATCAATTTGAAATTACTCACTTTCACTTTAAAGGAAACAAAACATATTTGTTTATCTTTTACCTATTTTTTGAAAATTTACAAAATTTTATAAATCTAAATGGGATTTATAAAATACTTTCATATTTTTTGTTCAATTATATACTTATGGTAACAAAACTTGTTGATTCAGTTCTAAAAACAAAATTTTATGGTTGTATAATAAAATTTTAATTCAGATATAAAAAGTTTTGTTACTTTAATCACATTTTGTTACACTAAACAATTGTATGTTGTTCCAAACAAAAAAATGGTTGCAAATTCGGGTTCTATTCTTTATGCAATTTTTCTTTGAATTCCAGCTCTGACTTATATTAAATAATCATCTAGACAAATGAATACATTTTTTATGAAGTCTGTCATTCCAAAATATTCTTGCTATAAAGTTGCAAACTATGTATAAGAAAAAAGCGATAAAAATTGAATTACTATTTTCGTAAGACTACATAAAGAGATATTACCACCTTAACAGCAAAAAAGTCTATGTATTTGTTTGAACAGCTTATCGATTTCCCAACAACGTTTTGTAATAACTTTGAAATCATTGGGGATTTCGTTTGAATTAAAAAAATACAAAAATTACACTTAGACGTTTTTGCTGCTAAAACAGTGCTATATAAAGAATATCATTTTGT